GATATAGCCAAAATCTTTACTCTTCACGTTTTTCCATCTAAAATATCTTTGGAGAAAATATCTTTGGTGGCTATTAAATGAAATTCTGCAAAAAGCAGTTTCTGATTCATCACAGTCGTCTGTTTCTAATATAGCTGGCTGTTTCTACTGTAAAAGTTACATTGTTTTCTAAACTAAACCTTTCACCTTCAAACCTTGCATGTGTGAATATTAAATGTGGTTTGACAGCCCTTTTAATTGCAACCCATGCATTGCCTCTTTAGTTTAAAATGCAACCCATGCATTGCCTCTTTAGTTTAAAAATGTCAAAAACTTCATTGCTCATTAAAGCAAAAAATCTCAACATTAACTTCTAAGAGATTATCATCTTTTCATATAAAAACTCTTTCCTCTTTTAAAAAGAACGGGTTTTGCAAAAGAGTATGAGTCCATTGTTCAAAATTTAAATCTCTCAAAGCTCCCTATTCAATCCCCCTATTTCTTTTCGTTTTTTTGCTTTAAGAAAAATTTTTAAGAGAAAAGAAATTTATTAACAACATTTTCTAAAGAACAGTTCTGATCTTTAAATCTATTTTCTAAATCAATTTTATGTTCTTCCTATGCTTATATTTTGCATTTCTCTCTATCTATATAGATTCTGTAATTTGTTGTAGACAGACTTTTTTTTTTTTTGAAAAACTTTTGTGTAATAGCTTAGGTGAAAATCTATGGTGTAATAGGTTATCAAGCGACCTATCTATGGTGTAATGGTTATAAGCGAATTCTCTATGTGGATTCTAAATGTCTTGATTTGAGTTCTGTTCTGCTGAAAATCACAAGGGTTGAGGTCGACTGCCTTCTTGGACAAAATCTAGTAGGCCACAAAAGGTTAGATCGTAGTTGTTGAATCTAATTTCCATTGCTATCTGTTTTTTGGTCTTGTCTTTTATCCTCTCGAACCAAGCCAGATAATCATAGTGCGAGGATTCTCAAATCGAGTGGGGAAGATGGATGTAGGCGAGTTAGTGCCCAGAACATAATCTATGTGTTTTCTTTCTTTTATTTTCTGCAAGCTCTTTTGATTATATTCTATTCTAACAAAATGTTAATCCTTTCAGAAACTGCAAGTTTATCAATGAGTTTTTTCTGATTTCTAACATGTGAATAAGCTTTATCCTCTGTGGAACATTAAGACTCTGGATTTCTGTATTGTGATTATACAGTTCTAATCTGTCCTTCTATATTCAATGTAATCTCAGCAATTGAATTAAATAATAAAGTTTTCTTAATCTTGCTTAAAGCTTAGTGAAAAGCTATTTCCAAAATGCATAACTATTTTTCCAAGAATCTTTTTAAAATAAGCATTAGCTTTTGTGGAACCTGTCTAATTGCAATAAGCTGTTCTTCACAGAGTTTTTCTAAACTTGACTTAAGCCTTTGTGGCTTAAGCTTTGTGAAGCAGTTCTAAATGCAATAATTGTTCTTCACAAAGTCTTTCTAATCTTGCAATAAGCTTTGTGAGGAAATTCTAAACTTGATAATTTACTCTCACAAATGCTTTCTAATTCTAAACTTGATAATATAAATTGCAACAAGTAATTCTGACAAGGACAATGATTTTCGCGAGTTTCACACATGGGTGCTGTGTAGCACGGGGGTGCTGGGTAGCATGCCCTGGGGGTGCTAGAGTCTGACTATGGGCATATTTTTCTTTGGAGATAGCACAAGGGTGCTGGGCAGCACGCCCTGCCCGTGCTAGAGCCTAACTTTGGCACTTTTAATCAGTTTTGAAACCTCTTTAATCCTTCCTTGACCTACAATATGAGTATAAAACACCAAAATAAAAGAAACTAATGGTTTAAAGATGGGAAAAAAATGAAAAAAATACAAATAAAAATAATTTGCAAAGGGAAAGAAAGAAAATAAGGGGTTGCCTCCCATTAGCGTTTTGTTTAAAGTCTTTTAAACTCGACTTTTGAGAAGTTTATCAAATGACGACTTTCACCCATAGTATGTATCATGTAATATCACACATGGGTCTTATAGTATGTATCATGTAATATCACACATGGGTCTTGGTTGAACATGCCCTCAAGATTGGCTAGTTTAAGAAAATTTATGCTCGTCTTATCAACAACATCCTGCTTTGAATGATGAACTTGGGGAAAAAACTATTTTAGATCACGGAGAAAACAATTTATTGAAGTTGGTATCATTGGAAAGAAAGGATCTTCCGATGGTGTGTGTATAAAAATCATTGATGAGCTCAAATCAACAGTCTCAATTATTTCTTCATCCACTAATATTACTTACTGTTTGTCTTCATTTAAACTCTCACCCAATGTCCCTTGTTCCCTTCCAGTTGTACTTCACTTTTTTTCATGGTCAATTATAATAATCAGTCTACAAAACCAAGAAAGTGGAGATTTAATTCTGTCTTCAAAGGAGTTGCATTTTTTTCACATTAGTGCTTTACTTCTTCTTAAAAAATGTGCAATTTTTTGCATAGAAAAGTTTCCTCCATAATTTACCTTGCCTCATCAATCTTGATATCCATAGTTGCCAAATGAATTATCATTATTGTTTGCTTGTAACTCCCAAAATTCCTTTATACCGCCTTGTTGGATCTTTAAAACTCTCCGCGAGTTTCATTCATGAAAATTCCAATTGTTAAGATTTAGTAAGGGCAATAAATCAAATCCTCCTAAATTCTTCTTGCTTATCTTCTTCATACTCAAAATTTCTATGAGGATATTTGGTGATTCCAAACCCTGCAGTGAAGGATCCAATGGTCAACGGTAAAGTCAAAATCGGCCATATCATTAAACATGCTCTTAAAACTCTCGCGAGTTTCATTCATAAATTCCATGTAAGATTTAGTAAGGGCAATAATCAAATCCTCTAAATTCTTCTGCTTATCTTCTTCATACTCAAAATTTTGAGGATATTGGTGATTCCAACCCTGCAGTGAAGGATCCCAATGTCAACGGTAGTCAAAATCGGCCATATCATTAAACATGCAAAGTATATCTTCATATTTAAGAAATAAATATTTAAGAACAAAATTTAGAAAGGGATTATATATCTTTTTCTAATATCTGTTTCTAATCCCTTGTTGATCCGTTTGGTGGGAAGTTGAATGCGAAACTTAGCAACGGATATAATTTCCGTTTCTAGTTCGTGCCTAATTCCATTCCTACGCGCGCTTCTTTCCCCCGACCCTCACCGTTGCTAAATATTCCGTTTCCAATGCGCATCCAACCGGTTTCTACTCTGTCTCTAAAGACATGAAATATTTTTAGGTTCAATTTCGTTTCTAATATGTTGCTAACAAGAAACGAATCTTTCCATTTCTAAAATCCGTTGCTAATCCGCAATTTTCTTACAGTGTCATAAGGTGAAGGAAGTTTGGCAAAGGAATGAGGTGATCTTGCTCACTAACATTACAAATTTTAAACATTTCTTTTTGCAGGTTTTGGAGGCTAATGATTTTCACAAGTTATTGAAAATCGGTGGTCATTGCATGGAGGATATGGGAAGCTCGAAATAACTACATATGGAGCAACAAAGACCTGCATATGTTAATTAGTTCGAGCTGAGCAAGTAACGACACAATCCTGGTTTCATGAACGAGTTCTTCACATGCATTGCCGAAATGGAAACGCACGTTCTCAAGCCAGTGGTAATCCTGACGGTCAGCGTCTCGTGTTTCCTGCTACTGCAAGTCCGAATCTCCAAGGGTGGCAGTGCTTCTGTGATGGTGTTATATTTTCTTCCCTTGGCATAGCAGGCTTCGGTGCTGTTCTTGAGGATGCGGAAGGTCAATATATACAAGTTATCTCAGGAGTATTTCCAAGCTATAAGGATTCACACATTGTGGAAGCCATGGCGTTACGTGCATGCCTTGCATGGATTCAAGGAAAGTTCTTATCAATGGAAGGTATCTATATTGACTCTCAAAATGTTATTTTCACTTTACAATCTGGTGAATTGGATTTTTCTAAATTTGGCACTATCATAAACAATTGTAAGAAACTACTAGCTTCTAAATTCCAGATCTAATGTGGTTATTAGATGGATCAGGAAATAAGCCAATGCAGGAGCTCATTTTCTAATTCAAGTCTCCCATAAATATGCTAGTTTCTAAAAGTGGGAAAGTAACCCACAAGTTTTTTCTTCTTTATTTAAATTAATAGAATCGTATTCATCTTGAAAAAAAAAAAAACACATGCCAAGTACAAATAAACAGTTATACCAATCAAAGTCTTCATAAAATTTCAATAAATTGCACAAAAATTAGAAATAATAAGAATTCGAGCTTACATATTCCTGATCCAGAATCTGTAAATTCCAGTCCACTGAAAGCAGCTTAAACTCCACTCTCATTACACCAAGATTTTGAACCAATGTTATTTAGGGAAATCGCCTTTGGAAGAGAAAATATATTTAGCAATCGTTGATCGAAAAAGGAGGATGGAGAACTGTGTCGCACGATTGAAGCGAAAGAAGGAGATACATTCAATTAAGGAAAGAAATAGAGAGACTGTAGATTAAGGACATGTCAATGATTCACCTAAGAAAATTTGCATGTCTGACACGTAGACTTAATGGCCAAAAAAAAGAAACAAAAGGGAAAGACATGTCCAAACAATGTACTGCAACTTTTCCTTCAAAACTAATTTGCATCGCATCCTAAATCTACTTGCACGTACATTCTTGAGTTAAACCTAGATCTACTTGGCGCATTTAACCTCCGAGCAGGAGAGAGGGGACGTGTACAGTGCAACCCCTATCCTTTTTAGGTGTTCCTAGTTAATTTGACATAAACAAATTTCAAATACATTGAAATTTCATGTTCGTCGTCCACAATTTTCACATGAGCAGCTGCAATTTTCTGATTTCTTTCTGTAAGGCATAAGGATCTGAGATTTCAAATAAAGTAAAACCCAATTATGTACACAGGCTTGAAAATAATCAAAATGATAAACTATAATTTGCTAAAGATGCAAGGTTCAGGCTCATTAACAAGATGTGTTCCGGTCTTCTTAACTATTAATAAATCTTAGCCAAGTTAAAATGCAGACATCCAACATAGCACCTGCAAACAACCATAGGCAGCTTTATCCAACCAATTCAATGCAAGTTTCCGTATCTTAGTTACATATATAAATTCTCCCATATAGGCCCTATTACAAATCTACCAATAATGCCAAGCCAACACCAGTGGAACAATAGAAAGGGCACCCCATAAGACAATAGCCCCTAACCAAAAAATTCTAGGGCATCCTAATCAATTAATAGACATAATTATCAAAATATCAATAAATCAATTACCAATCTTGATTATATTTCTCTATCTCTTCACTTTTCTGCTGTGACAATTGCAAAAACAGCTCCAATCAGTAATACAACTATCTATTTCTAGCAAGTCCTATCCTTGGCTTGTGCCTGCCTCAATTCTCCCTCCCAATGGAATTAAATCAGGCATGGCAGATGATGCACTCGCCTGAGCCAGGGTAACTCCAGAAATCTTAGTTTCATCCCCATTAAACTCGGCAGGTATTCCAGTAGGCCTGCCATTGTTGCTTTCATTAAAAATTGAAGTCACTGATGATCCACTTTCAAAATCACCAGCAATATGCCGCATCAAAGCACTCGTCACATCAGTAATTTCCCTCTTGCTTGACTCGGGCACTAAGCTCTCATCTTGCAAATTCTTCATACCAAGCATTGTTAACACACCATGGCTAGCTCCTTGGACGAAAGATGCATCAATTTGATCTAATTCTAATCCAGACTGCCCATCCCTAATAAGATCCAAATTACCTTGATTCCAATTCACTTTGTCCCCAGAAAGTTTCTTTTTCAACAATTTCTTTTTGAATCTAGACTTCTTTACCTTTGGGATGTATGCAACCTCCTCCAGGACAGGAGCTGTCTCTGCTTCTCTCTTTCTCAATGGAATGACAGTTAACTGATGGTTGCCACTTTGTTTATGAGAAGACTCAGAAGCACTCGTCTGTATGGCTAACAAAGCTGTTCTAGCAGCTTTGATTTCAGCTTCTTTTTTTGTTTTTGCTGATGCTCCAATATACCGAATCCCCCCAATCTCAACTGTACATTTAAAAATTGCACCTCTACCCGGTGTTTCAATCTTTTGACACACATATACTGGCATAGCATAATTCATCTTCTGTGCATATTCCTGAAGCAAATTTTTGCAAAGTCCAGTTTCATGCTGAAGAAATAAAAATGAAAGTCAGTTATGAAGAAGATAAAGGAACACCAACAATATCTGAAATAATTAAATTTGAAATGAAACAGTAGCAATTAAATTCCATCCAAAAAACTTAAATCAAAAGAAATATAGGCAAATCATGTTAGTTGATTATAGAAATCAGAGTAACAAGTAGAAGTCTACCCCACAATCCATATCAGAAAGCTAGAAGGTCTCTGCATAAGTCACCAACTTTAGATTTGAGTAAAAGTGAAAGTGGTAGATCATAATGTCTCATTAATAAAAAAAAAAAGGACCTGAAATCTTTTAATATTTTGATAAATGAACTGAAACCATTAGATGGGCAAGCCGCTCTTGTGAACTGCCTTCCTAACAAGGCTGTACAGTACCCTTCTAAACTGATCCGAGCAACCACCATAATCTAACCCAGTGTTGTCACCAGGTGCTAGCCTAGGTGCCGAGTCGAGGCCACGTGTTGGTGGCTGGTATACCTTCAGGCGAGGCGACATCAATTAGGTGTTGCCTAGGCGCCAAAGCGCCTCATAAAAACTGCTATTTCCCATATAGATACTAAACCTTAGATTAAAAAACTAGAAGTGTATATATATATATATATATACATAGGAAAAAAAAATTAGAAGCAGCTGAATAGCAATATAATTATTAGGTCAAATACGCATATGGGAAAAAGAAAAGAAATTTTTGACAGCCATTGAATACGAAAATCAAAATCTATAACAAATATGGAAAAAAAACAAAAGAAAAGAAAATGGCTTCCAAATTGGAGGCTTGTTGCCAATCAAAGAACCTATCCACCCAACTCAGTTTCAACGTGAAGAACAACTCCTATACATAGAGGTTCATACAGTTTTGAATTTTGATTCTTTAACAATAAATTTATCTGATGCTTTTTGGAACCAATATAGAATTCTAAATTTTCAGTTATCTAGAATTTCTGAAAATCCTCACATCACTAAAGCTAACGCCTTGACTGTCGCCTAGAGCCTCTAGCAAAGGAGGACCTTTTTGCCTCAAGGGTGCCTAGCGCTTTTGAAAACACTGATCTAACCTACAATTAACTAGTGTTACTATTATATATCAGAAAATTTTCAGTCCAAGCTAATGTAAAACCAGCTGCATATGTTAATTAAAAACTCAAGAGTATTGTCGAATGTAATTATATCACAACAATCTGGCCCCCAAGGAGTTAGCGATATTACAACTCTTTAAAGATCAATATTCTCTACTTCCATTTTCATGACTACCTGCTCTAAATAATAAAATTTGACGGCACCATATAATTGCAGTACTCTCAATCATTAGATTTTGATTACCCACATCCATCCACATTAAACTGAACCAAAATTAAAGTGAACCAAGCATTCTGGGATAAAAGTTGAAATGAAACAAAACAGGAGATACAGAATGGATGAAAAACTTACAACAGGTTGAGAAATAACATTGAGTTGATCAGATTTAGACAACTCAACTAAAGCAACCTCCGCAGCAGACTGCTCTGCAGCCTTCCGATTGAAAAAACCGGTCAAAGAATCATATTTAACATCGTTAACTATCACTGTCGACCTGAAGCAAGGTTCATGAGAAGGACCTTCTTTGATGGTCTCATACACAGGCGTAGGCAGTCCCTTTTTCTGCGCATACTCTTGTAATCGGCTCTTAAATACATAGCAGTTGGATACACCTAAAAATTAGAAAACCCCATATCATAATTCGATCGTTTAAGAGATATTGATGATAGATACTGAACGTTTTTCCAGCTAAAAGCACAGAACTGAAGACCCATTGGAGCTTACCATTTGAAGAATTCACATGTGAAGTGGAAACCATAGTATAACATGTTTAAAGCATGTTATTATATTAGTAAATCTTTAAGGCCGATGAGGATCGGGGCTTTGGGTGAGACTAGGGCGACAGCAGATGCTGATGGCACGGATTAGACGAGACAGGAGGAGGAGGAAGGGCGGCTTAGAGATGAGGAAGTGGGTTAGGGTTGGGTTAAAAAAAACATGGTATGTATTTATATCATCATTTGAATGGATGAGATGACATTACATTTTATCCCACGGCGTATAGATAAGGGTAGATTTAAACAAAAAAACGGTCTATTGCAACGTCGTATATGAACTTTTTCAATTTGCATATTTTTCATTTTCAGTGTCTTTATGAGAAAAATTTTATAAGGTTTGTTTCAAAAAAAAATTAGTTAATCCAAAAGGATAGTTCACTGTTTTTTCGTACAAATTAAAAAATAGAAATTATTATACTCATCTTAAATAACATATAAAAAATTATTATATTGAAATAATAAAAACTATATTAATAATATAAAATGGAATATAAATCAATAAAAGTGACAATATTGATGTTGGTTTTTTTTTTTTTTTTTTTTTTTTAATCCAAGGATAGTTCAACTGTTTTTTCGTACGAAATTAAAAAATAGAAATTATTATACTCATCTAAATAACATATAAAAAATTTATTATATTGAAATAAATAAAAACTATAATTAATAATATAAAATGGAAATTATAAATCAATAAAAGTGACATATTGATGTTGGTTTTTTTTTTTTTTTTTTTTGAGAATTTAAAAATTTTCAATTTTTTTTTTTTTTTTTTTGAGAAATTTAAAATTTTCATCTACCAATATGCTAAAATTAACATCAAAAAAGTAACATTGACTTGGACAAAATAAAGAATTGACGAGGATTATTTAAAATAAGGTAAAACATAATAAGGGTATAGTAGACAATTTAAAAATTAACTATAATATAAAAAAATAAATGGACTGATCTTTTAGGATAAATGGAGTAATTTATCTGAAAAATATTTTTTAAATCTTTCAATATTTGGGGTGCAGGAGAAATAAGTTAATGAAGAATATTTTTCTGATTAAATAAAAAATTAAGCTATTTTAAAAAAATGATTTTTCATCTTCCAAAGGGGAAGATATCTTCCAAAATTAGTAAATTTGTTTATCAATCTATATTATATAATAAAAGCTTCTATAAGCTTATGAATTAACAAAAATATTAAATAACACTCCTACTCTGATTCCCGGGGACTTTACAGGAGATGTCACATTCTATGCCAGAGTCACGTTCTATATCGGAGGCAAGTATTGACTTAATCAATTATAGATATTAGAAAATTTGATTTAGAAAAAAAACACTTAAGTTTAATATTTATGTATATATAATAAAATAATACCTTGATTTTTTAAAATGAAGAATTGAATTGGAAATTCTTGGTAATGAACGGACATGTTACTTAAATAAATTAATAATCAATCAATAATTAACTTTTACGGAATAACTAAGTGCTTATTTAATGATTAAGTATATTTTGATTTTATAATATATTTAGTGAATATATATTATATTGTTTAAATTAAATAAAAATTTATTATATTAAAATACAGATAAAATCACGTAGTACATAATTAATTAATTTTTATAAATTACAAGTTGATATTATTAATGATATTTTTAATCAACTAATAAAATATTAATAAAATTAAAAAATTTCTAATTAGAATTGGATTAAATTATATCTGATGGTATTTTTAATCAATCAATCAAATTAAAATTCTATAGAGGCGTTTTAGAAATGCAATGTCTCCCCAATTCATACTTTTATATATACTAATCTTTTTTATGACGTGCGTTGCATGTTGACAATACTCGTTATATTTTCATTTTTTGTACTCTTTTAATTTTTAATCTATATAACATTAAAACATAAGCTTTTGTTTAGATTAAAATAAATACAATTGGTTAATTTGTATTAGACTTTATCATATAAGCTACTTGCAATGTCATTTCTTATGTAGTTGATTTTATTTTTATATAATGAAGTGGTCTCAAAATAAAGTTCAATATAGTCCCTATACCTAATCCTTCAACCCTTAATTTATAAATATAGATTTTAAAAACCCTAATAAGTTCTCAAAAAGAAAATCAAGTTATCATGTAATCTCAACTCTTACCCTCAACCCCAAACCAATATCTATATACAACTATAATAAAAAATAATAATTTTTTTACTGGTAGGTAAAAGAAAAGAAATAAGAAAATGATCTGAATTAATAATGATAATCATTTTGGCTATAGTAATATTTTTTACTGGTAGGTAAAAGAAAAGAAATAAGAAAATGATCTGAATTAATAATGATAATCATTTTGGCTATAGTAATAGTATTACTTACCCAGTACAAACTCTTGAAACCCAAAAAATGACCCAAAATAGAAATATGTAGTTCTAGTTTTTTCAATTTCATAAACACTATTTTCTTTCAAGTAAAACATATTTAGGATATAAAAGTAAAAATATTAAGAAAATTAAAAATATTTGATCAGGAAGTCATCTATTTATTGCATGGGAGATATAAATCTCTTACTAAATTAAAGTGATAATGGTTACAAATTCATTCAATAACGAAAAAGAAAATAAAAAATAACAAACTTTTATTAAGAATAAAACTCTTTTAAGAACTCAACATATAACAAAAAATAAATTATATTGAAAAATTACCAATTTGAATTTCAAAAATAACCTTGGAATTGCTATAATTTAATTAAATTTCATTTTAATGGGCAAAAAAAAAGCCAAGTCAATAAATAAAAATAGGATTCAATATTAGTCAATTAATGAGTTTATTCAAGTATTTTGTTTCTCTATTGTTCTAAATTGCAAATTTAAAATAAACAAATAAATTAATTAAGTAATAAAAAAAAGATTACATAAAAAAATGTTATATTCTCTCCAAATAAACCCACAATTTTTCCTATAACCACAAAGAAGGGTACATTTTTTTTCTTTTTTATTATATATATTTATTTATTTAAAAAGGATTTAGAAATTATATCCAATCAAATAATAAAATGTAAATTTTTTTTTCCGTCTTAACCACAGGTATCCCAAGCCAATTGGCTAAAACTAAATCCTACTTACATCAAGTTGGCCCAAGGAGGGATAAAGTGCTCATAGCAAGTATTTACTCTATTTATGAGGATCGAACCTTCGACCTTACCTAAGAAAGAAGAGTGTCATATCACTCATCTAAACACTCATTGGTATAAAATATAATTTTTGAATTGACTAAGACTATTTTAAGATATTCTAAATTTCATTAAGAACAATATCGAAAATCTCATTATTTCCCCTATTTTCATATTTATATATAGTATGGACTAATCTGTTTTTATAGCGTGTCTTGCACGTTGACTATGCTCATTATATATTTATATTCTTTTAATTTTTTTATATATATAATACTAAAGCATAAGTTTTTGTTTAGATTAAAATAAATTATGATATATGTATGGACTAATTCTGTTTTTATGTATGCCGTTTTGGTTTTTTTCCCCCCTCCCTGCACGGGTTGACTATGCTCATTATATATTTAGTATTTCTTTTTAAATTATTTTTAAATATATATATATAAACTAAAGTCATATAGTTTGTTTAGATTTAAAAATAAATATATATTGTTTAATTTTGTATTGGATCTTTGTCGTACAAACTACTTTGTAAAGACTACTCTTATGTACTGTTAATTCTATTTTATTTTATAAATGAAGTGTGTTCTCAAAATAAAATTTATATCCAAATCTTCCTATGACCTTAGATTCTTTTCAGCCCTTAAAAATATGCAAGTCAAAAAACTCAGTGCTCCGCAACCTCTTTTGCCTTCTTGAACATCAAATCAATTTCCTATATACAATTGTTATATATAGAATAAATAATATATTATATTAGTTTTCTACTATTGTGTGTAAAGAGAAATTAATATGACGATATATGATTGTAATGTGACTAATGATAATTACTTGACTATAGTGATAGTTATTATTTACTCACAATTATAATGAAAAATAATAATAAATTAGTTTCTACTATTTGGTAAAGAGAAAAAATGAGCATATGATATGAATTGATAATGATAATTACTTTGACTATAGTGATAGTATTATTTACTCAGTGCATTAGAGAAAAGAATATATGCACATACATACAAATTCTTAAAACCGCAAAAAGTGACATAAAATAGAAATATATAGTTTTATTTTTTTTCCAATTTTATAAAAATTATTTTCTTTCAAGTTAAACGGATTTAGAATATAATAGAAAAATATTAAGAAAATTAAAAATGTTTAATTATCAATAGATTATCTATTTATCATAACGGAGATATATCTCTTACTAAATTAAAGTGATAGTAATTATAAATTAATTTACTAATGAAAAAAATTAAAAAAATTGTTATTAAGAACATGACTCTTTTTGGAACTCAACATATAACAAGAAACAAACTATATTAAAAAAAGTTACCAATTTGAATTTCAAAAATCAACTGTTCTTTAATTAGAAATGTCGTAATTTAATGAAATTTGATATTGATAAAAAAAAAGATTATAGCCAAGTAAATAAATGAAAATTACGAAGCAAATTATACTAGGATCTAATTTTGTTTCTCTATTTTTCTAAGTTGCAAGTTAAAATAGATAAATTAATTAATTAATTAATTAATTAAAAAGATTACATAAAAGTTGCAAATTTAAAATAGATAAATAAATAAGTTAATTAATTAATAAAAAAATTACATGAAAGAAACGTTATATTTTCGCCAAATAAATCTTCAATTTTCCCTACAACCATAAAAAAAGAAGAGTATTCTTTTTTATTTTATTATCTCTATGTATTTGTTTAAAAAAAAAATTTTAAAAATTATATCCACTCAAATAATAAAATATAATTTTTTTTTAATCGTAACCATAGGTATCTCAATCCCATTGGATTAAAACTAAATCCTACTTGCTCCGAGTTGGCCCAGGGGTAAAGTACTCCACTAATGAGGATCAAACTCTCGATCTCACTTAAGAGAAAAGAGTATCGATCCACTCATCCAAACACTCATTGGTATAAAATATAATTTTCAAATTGGCTACATCTGAGGCTATTTTAGGATATTCCGAATTTCATTAAGGTCGATATCGAA